TTTCCTTTCTTAAAAAAAAACTAGTTACATTGTGTTCTCTTAAAGTAATGGGCCATTTGCACGATGCCGTCATTTTACTACTACGACCAGAATCCATTTCGTTTTTTCTTTCATATTTCAATTTTGTAATCCCAGTGAGGTTTAAATAACAAAAGCCTTAATTTGCACAAGAAAGCAAAACCCTAAAGGATTCAGGTCGTAGTAGTAAAATGACGTCATCGTGCAAATGGTCTATTATTCTGATGCGTAGACATTAAAGGGAGAAGTAAGGGACTGATTTGCCTAAAATGGATACAACTATTTTTGGACTTAAGTTAAGGTCGCAGAAAGGCAGGTAACGGTCATTGGAGAATTGACATAACTATTTATTATAATTAATTCATCAAGTCACGATCAAGTCAATCAAGTCAATTCAAGTCAAGTCAGTTTTTATTTTAACTCACACAGAATATTAATACTATTTACAATTCAGTGCTTTTAAATATAACAATAAAAAGATTGTGACAAAGAAAAATAAATTAGTTAAATTTTAGGTTCATTGTGCAGAGTTTATGGGACACCTAAATAGAACTAATCGAGTAGGTGACCCAAAACAAGAATACGAGTAGAAGGATTTATACAGTGACAAAATAGCTGTTCTCACCCTCAACCAGTTTTTCCTAGCCTACTGCCTTTCAACTTTTTGTTCGCAAATTAATGAGCACTCACCTGTCGCGGGTACATGAAATCAATTACTCCTGCACGTGGACACTAGTCCCTACGTGCCCATGCAACTCGTAATTTATTTATTTTTTTTGTACGAATGTTTGAGTCTTCATTTTATTTTATTTTAACCTAGGTCTTAATCTAGCGGCGGTGCCTCGCATGGGACGTTAGTCCCGTTGCACCTACCCCTTTTGAGTTTTTGCTTCTTTTCTTTTCTTTTTTTGTGTTGTATTATAAATTAATTTTGTATATTACAAGAGGAGTACCCAATAAAGCTATGGAAAAAAAATGTATTACTTTATTAATAAAAATTAATAGCAGGAAATAATGACACTCTTCTCAAATCACATTATAGTGACCTAAAAATATAAAACTTTTAAACTCATATGAACACACCTAGGCTCCTTTTGATTGGTCTATTTCTCCCCTTCTCTTATTTGGCCTCGCGAAAATAGGACTTTCACCCGGAAGTATTTTTGTGTGTCGGGCTTCCCTTGGAAATCATGGCTACATTCCTGTATCTAACCCGTGTTCTTTTTTCGCTGTTGATAAAAGATGCAGGCATCTATTTATTCTTGAATGTCACATGCTTTTTCTTTTACCTGATACGCCTCACAAAACTATTCCCAGTCCGAGGGCGATAAACAAGAAAAATTAACCACTGTACTATTACTATTTCATCCTCGGAGACCCAGGGGCAGATAGTGGGGACGAGGGAAGGTCTAAACGGGTGGGAAAATATGGCACGAAGAAAAGAAAATAACGGCGAGAAGAGCCCCTGGGGACAATGTCTTACCAGACCAGTTCCAAACTGTCGCGGTCGTTCTGGCTTCTGATTGGTGCCAGAAAACTTTTGCGTTTTTCTACCCAATCAGAAGGCAGAACGGTGGCGACCGTTTGGAACTGGTCTGGTAAGACATTTTCCTCAGGGGTTCTTCTCGCCGTTCTTTACTTTTCTTCGTGCCATATTTTCCCGCCCGTTAAGACTTTCTCTCGCCCTCACTATCTGCCCCTGGGTCTCCGAGGATGTTACTATTAATAAAATAACTAAGATAGTACGCGCGCTCTGATTGGCCGAGGGGCGTGTTTGCATGAGAGTATGTAAACATGATTGTGACGTCAAGATGTTCTGCTTTTCGCGCGCTAATCACGCAAGCACGAAATTGAAAAAGGTTTTGAGTTGAACTCGACAAGTTTACTTTACTTACCCATTTCTTCGTCGGTTGAATCTTGAAAAATCTTTCGAAACATGCTGTGTCAACTTTTTTACGCTTGAGCTGACATTTTAAGCGAGAAAAACCCGTATTTTGGAAAGCTTTTTTTTGCAAAACAAGGACTGATTACGCGTGCAAGCTTCGTGTACAAAACTTTGCGACTGGTAAGAATTTCTCTTTTAATCACAGCTCTAAACAAGAGAGTTTTGCTTTTTTTCTCGGGAAAGTTATTTTATAAAAGCAATAGAAAAATTTTTTTTCCTGTGTTTGCATATCCTGATATAAACACTCGAGGAGTTGGAGGAATTCTTGACGGTTATGCAAACCCTCGACTTCGTCTTGGGTTTGCAAAACTGTCTCGAATTCTCCCAACCCCTCTCGTGTTTATATCAGGCAATGCAAACACGGAAAACGTTTTCTATTGCTTAAATATGTATTTTCTTTACCTTTTTCTTGCCTTTAACAAATAACTTTTCCAACTGTTAAATTTTTACATTCAGCTGTACATTGATAACCTTTACCAAAGGTCTTTTCTTAGCCCGACGTGTCAAATAATAGTTCTGCTGCTTTCAACTTACAAGACAGGCGCGGATCCACACCGGTTTTCACCGTTTTATGTAAATCGGTCACATTTTTCAAAATAAACATGTTTCTAATAATAAAAAAAACACTTTCCAAGTTGAACCCGGTCTGAATGACTCGGAAACCCTGGGAAGCGGACTTTAAGGAGTAAAAATCCAGAAAATTTCCTGAGGGAGCCCGCCCCCGGACCCTGTTAGAAGCTTGCTCCTTCGACCCTCGTTTAGGAAATCGGTCAGTAATTATTCTAGATCAGCGCCTTCAAGACCCATCGACTGTTGTTTCCTTTTTCAAATGCCTTGGTTCATGCGCTTCCCAGAATAATAGCAAATGCAATGAATTCAGCATAGCATCCCCAGTGGATTTACATTTCGTATTGTTGTCGTTGCCTTAGAGAATCAGCTCGGATCTACACATTTAATATGACTAAAATTTCCACACAACTGTGAGAGGGATCACATTTTTGATCCAATGTAAGATTATTTGTAAGTGTCTGTAGGGACGTCTTACTGGGACGAATCAATGAAGCGATTTAGGGCAGGCTAAGAGAAGAACAGGCAGGTTTCCACGGGGTAAGAGCCTGTGCCGATCACATATTCACCTTGTGCATGTGAAATAAGGTCTTTTCTATGACCACTTTTAATCCGAAATCAGTCTTCACAATACGTTCTCAGCGGCATTTGCTGTTACCTCTGGAGTAAGGCAGTGTTGAATGGTTGAATCCTCTGTCTCGATCTCAGAGTATTGGTCAATGCCATCCCGAGAGATACAGGTCAACATATAATGTAGGTATAATGCCTACATTATAATGTAGGTAAAATACAGTTCGACCTTCCTCACCCATCTTGAAGAAGAGCTGATGATTTGGCTATACTCTCGAGAAATCGTCTTCATATTAAAGAGGAAAAAGGACAGTAAATGGTTTTGTCTGAAGCCCAAGGCTCTCGCCATGCAAGGGAATCCAAATCAGGAATTCCGGAAATCTTTTTGTATGTTGAATCTCTGGAATCTTGGAAATTTTGAAGGAGGAATTCGAGATCCTGGGCTTTGGAATCCGGAATCCACGGCGTAAAATCCAGAATCCGGGACTGTCTTGAATTCCCTTATATCGGACGACAAGGCGATGCTCTCACCAAAGATGCTCGGCGAAACTGGAATTCATTGATGACTTTATTTATTTGGGCAGTGTTATCAGCAATGAAGATGGCTTTAAATTCAAGAAGATGTTAATAAGGTAAGACTGGAAAAGGACTGAGAGGTATTAGTATACCACAGCGAGTCCACTAAAATCCAGCTGTATAACAGCTGCGTGAGCTAGCTCGGCCTTTTTTATAAGGTAGGAGCAACGGAAAGCGGCCAAGAAATATGTGACTTAAGCTTTCCAAAACTACTAACGACGGGAGATCTGTAATGGAGACCCGGAGAAAGCAGGCTGTCATTCTTAGTATGATGGCCTGTTTAAATCTCGCCAGTGTCAAAAGATTGTTCTTCGATTCCTAGTTAATCTCAATTTTCTAGAGTCGATTTGTTGGCCAGTTTCTCTCTTTCAGCACGTGCAAGAATACGATTGACATTTCGTGTCGTTCGCACGAGTGGTACACGACTTGCACACTCCCTAATTCACACAGTAAAACTCCACCGTCTGGCTTGGATTTAGCTAGATCGGTAGAACGTTTATGTAATCCAGGTCTCAGAGGATTCTGGTAGAGAGTAAAATGACGCCAACGTGGAAATAGCCTATTGTCATACTCAATAAAAACAAACGCATACGAAGGACATTTCATTTAACGGTGCGTTTATTTCTCAAAGAAACTCCAATCCTAATCCAATAATTGCCCAACCTAGTGCAGTCCCCATCGGGACCGGGAGTTAGTGTCATTGTTAGCAGCAAGAGTCTGCAGTAGAAAGAGAATTTACCTGCTGTTCGACTATTGCCGGCGTGTGCGCAAGACGAGAGTAGACTGTACCTATAGTCGTTATGCATTTCGTTTCCAATTTTACAGAGTGCATCCCTGTACCGATCAATATTAAAACAAGTACGTAGATTCATACCCCGCTCTTCTTAGCACATCTTCTATAAGTTAAAACATCTGTCCATCGTAGTTTATTCAGCAACTGCATGGCGTTCATGGGCTCAGTGTATATTTCTGACCACCGTGACAAGTGACGAAGAAAACTGCATTCATTGCTAATTCAATGTACTATTTTATTTAATTTGACCTCCTAGTAAGTTCTATTACCACTATTTATTTCTTACTTGATCTTTAAAACGGCTTAAAAGAATATTTATCCTCATTTTAAGCTTCAAGAAAAGTGTTCTTGCTTAGTGCTACATAGTTTTTTTTCCTCCCTTTGCTTAAGTTATACAAATTCAGATATTGAAGTTAAGTGCACTTTTTTTATTATTATTATTTTTTCGTTTCTTTCTTTAATACAATGAAGCCTACTTAAGTGAAATGATAGTCAATTAAGAATATGTAATACTTTACTTGCACCTTGTTTTTAATTAGTGCCACAATAACGGAGATGGCACTGACCACTAGGTGTACCACTAAGATAGTACACATAATATGAACCACAATTTCTCACTTTGATGTTTGATGACCAATAACAGCAGTTACCATTATAATGGAAACACACCGTCCTGGTGACCTGACCGTCTGCTACTGTAGGGTGACTACCATTCAACCAGCCGGGTGCACTTGTGCCACATCTGTTATACGGTGGACATGAAGTTGGCATCCTTGTGCCTGCGGACCCCTCAAAACGAAACCAACCAGGTCCGATTCCATTGTCACAATAACGGTGGAGAGTAGTGTACGTAACCTTTCTGTCAGTGCTGTTAAGACTTGTGTAATTCTGGCATTCTGATATAGAAAAAAATAAAATAATAGTAATTATAAGAATTAATTTAACTTCTAACTTTTGTTGTTCAACTGGTTTCGTAAAGTTTTATTACTGTACATAAGCAGATTCAAAGTGGGTAATTTTCACGTTCTCTAAGATCCCCAGCACCTGCCCCACTGTGGCGAACTCTGTCTGCATACGGATAATTGAGGATTGGTTACTGACTTTCACGGGTCTTTCACACACTGGTAGACATACAGACCGAGGTTAAGCAATAACATGGGAAAGGGAGACAAATATATCTGTAGGCATTCCTCGATCTGCACCTGCAAATGGATGAGCGATCTCTGCTACATACGATGAATTAGGGAAATAGTAGGTTAAGTAATGATTTTATGCACTAAAACTAATTCAATTCATCACATTGACGCTAGTTTCTTTATCGTCTGTCCTCTTTTTGATCATAAAGTCGTATCATAACATTGTCAAAGTGTTGTGGATCCACGAGTAAGAGCCCCAGGCGACTAGAACATTTGACAATGTTACTGCGGACCTGGCGTCAATTTGCTTTTTACTTTAACAAAAGTTTGGAAAAAGGATCAGTAAAAAACATTTTGCCTTTCAAAAAGAAACTATACTAACATTACAATCCGGTTAATAGGGACACATTAGGGGACATGCCATGGTATACGTAACGTTCGGATGGCCGTATTAAGTGGGCTCTCCAAAAAAAACGTCCCGGACACATGTTGGATTGATATAAAGACTATGGCAGACAAAGAGGAAGAAGGGTAGGAACAATGACTGCGCCGAAAAGCCAAGGAAGTGAAACTTGAGTAGTAATTATTAAATGGTTATATAGTACACGGGAAGAAAGACTGGTTTAAAATCAAACATATCAAGCTATTCTGTTACTTAAACCCAGAAACCTGTCATTGTTTGAACAGTGTAAAATATCTTAGCAAGTGATTGTGACAAGGAAAATGAACGGTACGTCGATAGCCAGTGTCCATAAATAGCAGGGTTGACAGAGTTTGTGCCTCAGGACACAGAAAAGTGTCCAGTGCATTGTGTCCGTATTAACCGGTGTCCGTAATAAAAGGGTAAATTTAGAAACTGCCCGTTATAACTATATACGCGTGTCCGTATTAAGCGGGTGTTCCGTCTTGCAGAAATTAAAATTTGATGTCTGTTCTCTTCCTATTGATAGAAATTAGCCAATCAGCTTGCGAGGAATAACCTGACAGTTAGTTTATGAAAATGTGGCTATCTAAGAAAACTCACAAATCCCGCGCGTAGTAATGTCGGTAATAAAAACAAAAAGAAATGAGCTTACTGAGTGGTCTTGTGCTATAAGGTTGCCTTGGAACATTGGCAGCAAGGTCGAGGTTCAAAATCCCTTGAGTGAGAATGGATACGAACTCAAAAGGAAGTATGAACTATTCCTGTTTGATTTTTTTATGGCCTGCAATTTCATGCAATTTCATTTTCTTCTTCTGCACGGATCCGTGTGCGTAAAGGGATCTCATAGAGCAAATAACAGAAAGCAGCGAACTAGACTTCCTGGAGACCTACCCCTTATAAAAACAAGCTCACGCGAGTGTCAGATACGCTTGAAGCTTGTTATCATAATGATCAGGCTGAAAAGTTCAAAATAACAAACGCCTATAAAGTTTCTAGGGGCATGATGCTCTTTCTTCAAATGGAGCGTTTTTAATCTCGCAGCCTACTTCGAATTTCAGTGACGTTACAGTTTAGCCCCTCCAAAGTTCATTAAACTCAGTCGGAGGCGTAGAGTCCATATTCTCCATATTTGGCATACCCGATCTCCCTATCAGTCACGGTCTTTTTCCATATAAGGAGCATATTAAGCAACCACGACTGCGACGGCATAGAGCGAAAACGCCACAAAAAAGTGTATTCACGCTGCTTCAAATTAATTTCCATTTCGTTCAAGTTGATTGTCAAGTGTTGGTGCATGGTTTTTGGTATTTAATTCTAAGTTAATGTATCTCAATGTAGGAAAACGACAAACAATCGTTTTTTAGTCTGAAAGCGTTCCGTGTTTAGAAACGTTTAAAACAAGAAGAGCAGTGGTTTATCTCTGAGATAGATAGATAGATGCTTTATTGTCTTAATACCTTGCAGCCATAGGCTGAATTACGAAA